AGGCAGGAAGGATTGATCTGTCAAACCTAATACCAAAGTAAATATATAAGGTAGTATAGAATCGAAGACAAAAATAAAATCCATATCCAAACCAAAAGAAAATATAGAGGCATTAAATAAATTAACTTGGGTATGAAGAAACACTTTCTACGCCTAACAAAATGATTTTTCAAAATAAAGAAAATATTTAATAGACTTTACCAAATAATCAAAACATGGTAAAATTTCTCAGGTAAGTTGGTAACCATTACTATATAGCAAATGAGGGGTTATGTTGAAACTCAAATACAAGTACTTTGGTCAGATTTTCTACTCTCTTGAATCTATACTGTAAGCTAATGGAATAAAGGGTATTCCAAGATTGATATCTTTGATACATGGCAAAACAAGTATCAAAGTGCAACTCATCTAAAGCTAATGATGCAAAAGGGACAGAAACACAACTAAAATAACGTAGGAATGGTTTTTAAAAATATCATTATATGTACAAAAAGTTAAAAATAAATAAATTCAAATGTAACTCTGCACTGTACATTTTAATATCTTCAAAAGCAAATGGTTCTCTTGAAAAATAAAATTTACAAAAATTCACTTCGCAAAGGAAACAACATAGACTAATAATCATTTAAGAAATATGAAAAGATTTTAAAGTATTACTTCACTAAAATAATTTCTAAAAAATTACAGATATGTTTTAAATGTCTTATAATATCCCAACCAATGAAATAAAGGGAAAAATTGCTGGCACCACATCTTTGAGCAGATGAAACAAATGAGATCTAGCATGTAATTAGAGAGGTATCAGGTTTAAACAGGAGACAAGCCTTGTTTGCCAGTAATTCTAAATATTTTCCCTAAGGAATAATCAAAGGTAGGAACAAAGATCAGGTATAAAACCATCTTTCTAGGGCTATTTAAAATAACATAAAAATTTAAAACTTTTTAAAGATCTGCTATACTCACTATGAAATATCTTCCTGCCATTTAACATTATTTTTCTGAGAATGTGCAATAAAGAAAATTTTTTTTTCTATTTTTGGTGAAAGTATAATTAAATTACATATATGTTAATGATTTTATTATTTCTATAGTACAAAATTATTCTATTCTGTAACAAAAAAGAGATACCTACTAATTTCGTCTTTAAAATCACCCAGAATGAGGGTTGTAGACAAGTGGGTAATCTGCTAACAAAAGTACTTTTTAAATGAATTCCTTTATAAATTTTCATTTAATTTGAGTAAAATTTTCTTTTCATAAAAATATATTTGTTAATTTCTGTACTACTTGAATAGAAGTTTAAATGAAATTACACTACAATTTGTTCTCTTGTACCTTTTCTAAATTTTCATATTCATGTGATATTTACCAGCCTAAAATGTGATGTGAAGTCTGAATTCAAGCTTCTAAGTGTAAATTTTCATCAAAAAAATTTCAAAGTAATATAAAGTCAATGATTCAGTTTAATTAATTAGTACTAATCACACGCATGCATCAATTTCTAGTTTATAAAATCACAGCCAAATAAATGTTTTATTAAAATATAGTTGGCTTTAATTAAAAAGGCATTAATCCATACTAATAAAAAATAAGAATCTCAATTTTTAAATTTAGAACTGAAAATAAGTAATAAACTAAACATACAGTGTGATTCCAATTCTCGACATGTTCTGGATTTATACATGTTAATATTTTTTCTCACTTATATTGTCCTACCCAATTCTGCTATTGAAAATTCTCTCTGAAACTAATTCCTAATTGAGATTTTTCAAGCAATTACATAACCTGCAAAAATTAAAACTTACACCCATAAAATGAATTTGTGTTATTGAACTTCAAATAATTTCAGTGGACTTTTTGCTTTTTTAAGAGATATTTCTAATGTTTAGACGAAGTATTTTATAATGTTAAATTCATTTAAGTTTCTTCTCTTCTATCTAGCTTTTAAAAATATTCTAACATAGTCACTGTCTAAATATCAGAAAATCAATATATTTGAAGCAAACAAAAAATCAGTATATTTGACTCAATCATTGTATTTGAAGCCTTGTCTAAACCTTAAAAATATATATATTTTTTGGCCAGGAGACTAATTCAACAAAAGAATATGGGTGAAATAATAAAATTTATTGTTATCTTAAATGAATATATACATATTATTTTCACTGAGGAAATATATATCCCAATGAGGAAATGTTTATATCTACATAAATATTAGTGATTTATGAGAAGAAAATCCTGATTATCCATTTTGTTAATTTATTCAATAAACATTTATTAATATACTATTAGGTGCCAGATTCTGTGGGTGAAACCTGAATAATATACAATTAAATAAATCATTGCCTTCATGAAGCTCAGACTTTAATAGTGAGATTTCTCAGTTGAAATCATAAGTAAACATTTACAGATTAATAAATCTTCTAAAATTGTATACACATTTTTTTGTTATGAGTAAACACACATTTTCTCCATAGCTTTTATTAGATCTTCAAAAAGGTCAATGAAAGTAATCCAATAAATATCAATAACTAGAAGGAGGAAAAATGACAAACAGGTTAGCTAGTAATTGAAAAAAAATAGGCAAAGTAAGATATATTCCAAAAGCAACTCTGATCTTCCTCTACCCACTAAAACTGGGGAGTGAACTAATTCTGCCTGAGGAACTCAAGAGAGAATTCACAAAAGAATGAAATAACAAGCCGACATTATAATCGTGGGTGTACCATTTAAGAAAGCTCCAGTTTTTCCAAATATAATTGTATGAACCACCAACATTAGATAGCTTGGAATCCTTTATGGACATAAGACAATAAAAATGTGTAACCATCTCAATGGCAGAGGTCATACATTTAAGTATTTTTCATGTACAATTGAATTGCAATTCTAAATCTATATTACGCATTACTAGAATTATCTTTTTTCTGTAAAAAAAAAAAAAAAGGTAAAATGTTTAAGACAAACATGTTTTCAAGAGTCACCAACTTAAACTTGCTAGTGTTAATAATAAAGGGACCTAGTAATTTATCAACCTATTAATTTAAAAGTAACATCTTTAAAGATGGAAAATTATGAATAAAGTATTTATTTAAAAAGGTTTTCAATTATCAAAGAAAATAAATGGGTGTTAAGACAAAAAAAATTACCAACTCAGTTCTCAACAGAAAAGTTATCTTGAAGTTCAGTAATATTAGTCTGAAATTTCAAGAATACCTTAATAAACAACATTATAAAACCCGTAAATGTTTACTCGGACATAGGAAATAATTTTGCATAATAAATGCCTATCATGAAGTATAAATATATCATATTAAACTTACAAAATCTTAAGAAATAAAATGCAATAATGTCTTAAATACTAGAAAGACTAGTGGGAACACCCTTTATGAAGAATGTATCACAAAATGAAAAATGATACTATTAGATTGGCTGACATTTATTGTTTGTGGATACCATTAAATTGAGTTTTATTAAAGGAGAGAAATTGTTTAACTGAAGATGTAATATAATTTAATGTTGTCAAACTATGAACACCTAAAATACCTAACTTATCAAGACCGATAGCTTATTAATCAATATTTACTTTAAGATCTTCTCTCACTGTGCCCATCAATCTAAAGTAAACAAACATCATAAACTTAGCACAGTCCTAATCAGATCCCCATTTACAAGACTTGCCTTAAATCACCTAGCATAGATCCTAAGACCTTATCAATATCCCCCTTGACTTCCACCTTCTGAAACAGTAGGAAGACTCTCTAGAGATTCTCCCTTTCTGAAGTAAGTTTAATGAAATTAGCTTGGCTTAATCAGCAGGGGTTGTCTTTTTGGAGGAATCAACAGCTAACAAAATAACAACTCTTCGATTACTCATTTTCATTTCTTTTATTTTCTGATAATATATAATGAACATGCCTTCAATGGAATGCTGAAAAGTATTTAGACTGTGACATTTTATTTCTATTTATTTACTTATTTTATTATTTTTTTTTTCTGAGAAGGAGTCTTGTTCTGTCACCCAGGCTGCAGTGGAGTGGCATGATCTCAGCTTACTGCAACCTCCACCTCCAGATTCAAAGATTCTTCTGCCCTAGCCTCCCAAGTAGCTGAGACTACAGGTACATGCCACCATACATGGCAAATTTTTATATTTTTAGTAGAGACAGGGTTTCATTATGTTGGCCAGGCTGGTCTCGAACTCCTGACCTCAAGTATCCACCTACCTCAGCTTCCCAAGGTGCTGGGATTACAGGCATGAGCCACTGTGCCTGGCCTTAGATTGTGACATTTTAAATCAGGAGAAGAGCATACGTTCAATATAAATGGACTTGTCATTAACCCTCAAAAGCAACATTCATTTTGGTGTGCACTTGGAATTAACTCTTACATTAATTTTTACAAATCACAATAAAAAATTTCATTTTCAATAGTTAGTAGGGTAGGAATGGGGAGCCTATTTCATTCTAATTCTCAAAAGGGTAATTAAAGGCTATTGTGAACAGTTTCTAAAATCCAGCAGGTTATGATCAGAAGGTCCAGAAATTAAAAGATACCCTTATTTATTATGAACTTAAATACAGCATCCATGTTCATTAAAAGAAAATAAAAGATCAACACACAATTTTAGTGGATCTACAGGGCTTTCTTTTGAACTCTCTGATAATTATTTCAATAAATACTAAGATATTTCAATGTATGTATTCAAACAAGAATGAAAACAAGTAAATTTTAAAATGTGTAGGAATATAAATTAATTATAATATAAATACTGTAGAGCATATTTAGAAATAGAAAAGTTGTTTAAATAATTCTTAAATTCTTAAATAATTCTTTTTAAATGTCAGACTACATCTTTAAAACTCTTTTCTTTAGTCAAAATATTTTCATTAATCAACAATATGAATAAAATATATCGAACAGACTTTAATATATAAATTTGCAGTACTTTCTGGAAAATATTCTGTTCTTGTGTCATTGATAAGAAAGAAATACTGACAAACCTCATACGTTGCCGGGCCTGGAGTAATCTCTCTGGACTCTACAAAGCGTTTTGATGCTTTCATAAATAAGGGTATGGGGCAAGATTTCCTTAAAACGGGATTGTATGATGCAGGACCTGAGAGAAAACAAATGTAAAAATTATAATTAAATGTGTTGTAAAATTATTGATTTTGGTCATATGGATAGTAAGTTCAGGTTCTTAATGCATAAAATTAGCAAAAAACAATTTTGGACCCATTCTTTTTGAATGCTTAAGATCATTTGGTTTACATCTTTGAAATATGATAGGCATAAAATAGTGACATCTGTTTACCAAATAATTAAATATAGTACAGCAATAATTTCCAAATAAGAGAAAACAGTACTCCCTCAAGATACTTATACATCATGAATGAAGATGGTTAACTTTTATATACTAAACATTTATTCACATGTTCAGTGAAGAATTAGTGCTTGAGCTACATTTGGAAATACAAATAGGATTTAAAAAAGCAGAAAGGTGTTTTAGTAGCATTCTGGGCACTAAGCATTATGGAAATCAAGACACGAAGATGGAATGTATATGGAGCAATTAGATGTGGTAAACAGGTTGTTTGCATGGAACAGGGCCTAATCCTAAATAAGGATTTTTGTACTTAAGCCAATGGGTTTCAAATTGTATTCTTTAATCCTTCTATATTCTTACAGAAGTGACCAGAGGATAATTTGTAGGTAAAGCCCAGGTAGAAAATGTTTGAATTATTTTCATTCACAACATCTCCAAAAACATTTGAGAACCACTTTAATTGACATTGTGTAGCTCTTAAAAGTTTTACATTGAATAGTCATGAAAAGTGGTAGTTTAGAAAGTGAATTCTGGCAGTACTTTACAGGATGAGATGACTTGAAGGAATACTAACAATGAATGCACATTACTAGGGGAAAAGAACAACTCACAACATTTTCTAAGAGGCACAACAAACACTACATCATGTATAGAGACTAGAACATGATAAATATTAACAGTGGCTACAATAAAGGTAATATTGTGACAGAAATAAGGAGACAAGAAAGGAAGATACTATTAGAGGGGAACATTATGAGTTTGTTTGTGAACTAGTTATGCTTGAAAAGATGACAGGCTACCCAAAATAGAAATGTCCAGAAGACAATCAGAGATTGAAGCTCAGTGAAGAAGCTGGTCTGGAGAATAAGCATGAATTTATTCACTTAGAGGCAATGGTTTAGGTTTTCCAAAGTCAAAGAGTATGGAAAGATGACTGAATATTTAGGTGCTACATATAGGAAGGGAAGAGAAGGGTCAAAAAAGGAGACAGTCTAGTGCAGTGGCACCTAATGTTTCTGGCACCAGGGACCAATTTCGTGGCAGGCAATTTTTCCATGGATGGTTGGGGAGTGAGGGAGGTGAGAGGATGGTTTCAGGATGGAATTGTTTCACCTGAGATTATCAGACATTAGTTAGATTCTTGATTTTCATGAAAAGTGTGCAACCTAGATTCTTCACATGTGCAGTTCAGGACATGGTTTGAGCTCCTATGATGATGTAATGTCAGGCTGATCTGACAGGAGGTAGAGCTCAGGTGGTAATCTCATTTGCCCTCTGCTCACCTCCTGCTGGGAAGCCTGGTTCCTAACAGGCCATTGACAGGTATGCATTCTTGGCTCATGGATAGGGGACCCACGGTCTAGTGAATGGAACCTAGCTGGTACAACTTCACAGAGAGAAGATTGGGAGAGGTGATTTTTTTTTTCTTCATTCATATTTTAAACAATATTATTGAGTGTCTATCACATGCCAAACATTGTGTATCAAGAGAATGTTAGAGGTCTACTATAACAAATGTTTCAAGAGGAGAGACGACTGAGGAAGGACACTGTAGAACATGTGGAATATAATTTTAGAAGAATGGTAGTGAATTAAATAAATTAGGGGGACATAAAGGAGGAATGTATGGGGAGAGAAAAGAAAAACTTCAGCCATAGAATATTGGCAATAAATATAAATAGTGAAATAGGAGAGTGGATATAATGATATTAATAAAATACAAAATTAATTTCTCTACATTTCCCTAATAAGCATGCAATTCAATCTACCTACTCTGACAAGTACATTCTTGTTGTTGATTTAAAATCTAAAATATGTTTAAACTCACAGGTTCACATGAAACATTTTTAATGTTTTTAGCTTCATTAATATAGGACAATTCAAAATTTAAAATAAAGGAGGACATCCAGGCTCTAGCCCAGTCATTTTAATATCATTTCAATTAAGATATAGGTATCTAGACTAAGTCGAAGATGGCCGAATAGGAACAGCTCTGGAGTGCAGTTCCCAGCGAGAACAATGCAGAGGGTGAGTGATCACTGCATTTCCAAATGAGTTATTTACTACTTACAGACCAGGAGATTCCTGCACTGAAAAGCATCACGAGTTTCCAACATGGCTGTCTCCACTGGCGCAGCAAGTCTCTACACAAAAACTCACAAAAATATGGGAGGCCGTTTCAACTGGCACCTGGAATGCCTGGGAGACAGAGCCCCCCAATCAACTGGATAAAAGGGGGTTGAAACAGGGAGCCAGGTGATTTGGCTCAGTGGTCTCACTCACACAAAGACCAGCAATCTGAAATGCCCTGGATTAAGAGTTTCACAGCAAGCACAGCTGGACCCAGGACAGTCCAGCTCTGACTGGAGGGGAAGGTCATCCACCATTACCAAGGCAGTCTGCCACTACCAAGGTAGTCTGTCATTGCCACGGCAGTCCACCATTACTGAGGCAGTCCACCATTACCGAGCCAGTCTGCCATTACCAAGGCAATCTGCCATTACTGAGCCAGTCCACCATTACCGAGGCAGTCCACCATTACCAAGTCAGTTCTAACTATACCTCTGTAAACAAAACCACAAGGAAGTTCACACAGAAGCTGGGCAGAGTGCACAGCAGCTCAGCAATGCCTCTGCTTGAAGACTATGACTAGGCTACCTCCTTGCAGAGCGGGACATCTCTGAAAAAAGCCAGCAGCATGTCAGGAACTTATAAATAAAGCCCCAACTTCCCAGGACAGAGCACCTGGGGAAAAGGCAGTTATGAGTTCCATTGCAGCAGACTTAAACATACATGCCATGTAGTGCTGAATGGAACAAGGTAGCTCACAGCTGAGCACTTGAGCTCCTATAAGAGAAAGACTGTCTCCTCAAGCAGCTCCCCAACTCCCATATGTCCAAAGAGACACCTCATAAAATAGAGCTCAGGCTGACATCTGGTGGGTATGCTTCTGGGATGAAGATAACAGAAAAAGAAACAAGCAGCAGCCCTTACTGTTCTGCAGCCACTGCAGGTGGTCCCCAGGCAAGCAGGATATGGAGTAGACCTCCAGCAGTCCTACAGTAGGGAGGCCTGACTGTTAGAAGGAAAACTAAAAGACAGAAAGAAATAACTTCAACATCAACAACAAAAAAAGTCCACTCAAAACCCCATCTGAAAGTCACCAACTACAAAGACGACAGGCAGATAAATTGACAAGGATGGGAAGAAACCAGCACAAAAAGGATGAAAACAGCAAAAACCAGAATGCATCTCCTCCTCCAAGGGATCACAGCTCCTCACCAGCAAGAGAACAAAGTCGGAAATGAGTCTGATGAACCGACAGAAACAGGCTTCAGAGGGTGGGTAATAGCAAAATTCTCTGAGTTAAAGAATATGTTCTAACCCAATGCAAAGAAATTAAGAACGTTGAAAAAAGGTTTGATGAAATGCTAACGAGAATAAACAGCTTAGAGAAAAATATAAATGACTGAATGGGCTAAAAAACACAACACGAGAACTTTGCAAAGCATACAGAAGCTTCTATAGCCAAATCAACCAAGCAAAAGAAGGGACATCAGAGACTGAAGATCAACTCAATGAAATGAAACGAGAAGGCAAGATGAGAGAAAAAAGAGGGAGAAGAAATGAACAAAGCCTCCAAGAAATATGGGGTTATGTTTAAAGACCTAATCTAAGTTGATAGGTGTACCTGAATGTGACAGAGAGAATAAATCCAAGCTGGAAAACGCTCTTCAATATATTATCCAGGAGAACTTCCCCAACCTAGCAAGGCAGGACAATATTCAAGTGAAAGAAATACAGAGATCACCACAAAGATATTTCTTAAGAAGAGCAACCCTAAGGCACATAATTATCAGATTTACTAGGGTTGAAATGAAGGGAAAAATGCTAAGTGCAGCCAGAGAGGAAGATTGGGTTACCCACAAAGGGAAGCCAATCAGACTAACAACATATCTCTCAGCAGAAACCATGTAAGCCAGAAGAGAGTGGGGGCCAATATTCAATATCTGTAAATAAAAGAACTTTCAACCTAGAATTTCATATCTAGCCAAAGTAAGCTTCATAAGCGAAGGAGAAATAAAATCCTTTATGAACAAGCAATTGCTGAGAGATTTCATCACCATCAGGCCTGCCTTACAAGAGCTCCTGAAAGAAGCACTAAACATAGAAAGGAATAACCAGTAACAGCCACTCCACAAACATACCAAATGGGCAAAACAACCAACTAGCATCAAAATGGCGGGATCAAATTCACACATAACAACATTAACCTTAAATGTAAATTGGCTAAATGCCCCAATCAAAAGACACAGACTGGCAAATTGGATAAAATGTCAAAACCCATCAGTGTACTGTATCCAAGAAACCCATCTCACATGCAAGGAGACTATCTCATACATACTCTCAAAATAAAGGGATGGAGGAAGACTTACCAAACAAATGGAGAGCAAAAAAAGCAGGAGTTACAATCCTAGTCTCTGATAAAACAGATTTTAAACTATCACAGATCAAAAGAGACAAAGAAGGGCATTACATAATGGTAAAAGGATCATTGCAACAAGAAGAGCTAACGATCCAAAATATATACGCACCCAATACAGGAGCACCCAGATACATAAAGTAAGTTCTTAATGACCTACAAAGAGACTTAGACTCCCACACAATAATAGTGGGAGACTTTAACACTGCACTGTCAATAATACACAGATCAACGAGACAGAAAATTAATAAGGATATCCAGGATTGAACTCAGATCTACACCAAGCAAACCTAATAGACATATACAA